TTGTTTAAACTATAATTATATGTTTTAAAACTACGAGGTGTTATAAAAATCTTGTACCAGACTAGATTGTTGTAACAACCCTCAATATCAAGTTAGGTTAAACAAAAAATCAAGCAAGTGTTCAAAAGATCTAGTCAAGTTTACAAGGAATCAAGTAGTGTATGTTCAAGAAAATTGTGACAAGTTATGTCAAGTAATGATCAAATGATCATGAAATTAACATAATAAAAGGAAAAATGATACATTGCATGCCTAACAAGTCAATTAGAACCTAGATAAGAGTATGAAATATGTGTTTAGACATAGATGTCAATTTGATGAAAGTAAGGGTTAAATTAGTAATTTGGCAAAAACGTAGTCTAAACTTTAATTAAATGATGTAATTAAATTCTATAGGAAATTCTATGGGTTTAAAGTAGTCTTAGATTAGTCTAAATATGCTTAGATAATTAATTAAAATTAGGTCAAAGTTCTATTAAAATCAACCAATAATAATCCTTATAGGTCAAAATAATGACTAAGTTAATAAAGTAAGCTTAATTACTAAGCTACCATGATATTTTCAAGAAGCAAAGTTGGTTATTCCCTTGTGTTATGCTTCTTAGCAGTGCACATTTAGAAGGAAGAAGGATTGATTAATAAGTTAGTGAATTGTATTGGTTAGAAATGAAAAAAGTCAACAAAAGTGGCTAATAAGCTTTTAAGTGTTTCTAGGTGGTTTTCCTTCTTGTTCTTCTCCTTAACCACGAAAATTTATGCTCATTTTCCTCTTCATAGACCAGCCATCATTGAAGAGCTTTGAGAGCTCATATATCTTAGAAAATCTCAAAAAAATATCATGATTATTTCATAAGAAATCAATCTTGAGACCTTAGGAATCTTTCTATGTATTTAGTTTCTTCTCTGAAGCTTTCAATCTAGTTTTTGCTCCCTAAGACCTGTGACCAGAGTACTGTTCATGGATAAAAAGTTGAGTGTTTTCATGGTTTGAAGGTTGTGGAAGGATCATTACGTGATTTGGAGAGCATTGATGTCAAGAAACTCAAGTTTAAATGGTTAATTTTCAAGTTATAGTGTTAGGTTTTTGAATGAACATGACTGAACATAGATATATTGTCTCATGTGTTTATGATGTGTATTCATGGTGTTTAATGGTTATGGAGTTGAAAGAAACAAGTAGGAATTATTTAAAGTTGTAAAAGGCTGATAAACCCCAATAGAGGTAAATCTGGCCTCTATTTTATGAAGAGTATATATGGAGTTAAAGGACTCCAAATTGAGTGTGATTTGTACCAAATTAAAGCTATACATGTCTACTATAACATATCAAAAATTCAGGGAAATATGATCAAAAATGGATTTTTCGTGTATTAATTAGTATAGACTGTTCATGTTGGAAATTCCTAGATGTTATTTCGGCCATACTTGAAATAATTGTCTAAGTTGTTTTCATGTCATGTTAATGAGGAATCATGATTAGGGTTTGGTAAGTTGATGATTGGTGTGATAAATGGCTATGTGAAGTTTGAAAAAATGCATGGTAGTCTTAATAGTACCATTCAGCCTTTATAAGATAATGTGACATAGAAATTGGTTTCAAGTCAAGTAAGTGTTTGAAATAAAATTCAAGTGTAATCATGTGTATGTCACGTAGGTTAAGGTTTGAAAACCTAGTTTAATTTAATGTTTAAGTTGATTACCTAATAAGTAAGAGTAATGGCTTATGTGAAAGTATATGGATTGACTTGTGTAGTGGCATGAATTGGCAAGTAAGTGTGTTGATATGAAATAATGACTAGTAACTCAATGTTAATACATGATTTGTGATTGACACCGATGTCATATCTGAATAGTGATCTTGGTTTGTCAAGTACATTGGTATAATTTTCTTATAATACAAGCAATGTTTTAAGGAAAACTTATATTCAGGTAAGCTCTTGGTTTAAGAGTTTTATCCAATATGTTGTTCCACCATAATCCATTTGGATGATGGTTCGTATGGGCATATGTTGTGATGAATGTAGATACTTAGTATAATTGTATTCATGTAGCTCATACATATGTTATGATATGACGTATTGAGATATGATATGTTGTGATATGATGTGAGACGATAAATTGTGACATGATGTGATGGGATCTATTTGAGATATAGACACAAAGTATACAGGGTGCACGTGTGATCTTAGTGTACATGGTGCATATTTTATAACAGTAGATATTTGGTTTATATGGGTGTTGTGATTTAAGGTATATGATATAGGCTATGCTATGTTATCTGACATTTATTGAGGAAGTGAATTCGTGAGTATAGGCTTATCTATAAACCATGAGTTTATTGAGTTCATTCTCACCCCGTGTTATTGGGATATATTTCAGGTACGTCAATAGCAGGTGAGCCCTCACAGGGCAAGGGACCCGCACAGGGTTAGACCAACCAGGATCGATGAAGATTTATGTTTTGGGATATCTGTATTTTGTGGGCATGTTATAGTATCATGCGCTATCATATAGATAGATATGTATTTTGCATGGATAATTGTATTTATAGGTTTTGTAAAATATGATATATCAAGATTATATACATGATGTGTATTAGGTTGTGAGATAATATCAGTAATGGCACAAAGACATTTTCTAGTACACATATGTTTAGGTATTTATGTGGATTTGAATTGTTTGTTATCAAGTACAAGTTGTATAGTGGGATATGATCCCTAGTTATTTAGTTTACAGCCGTTATACTATTTATGAGACTTTATTCGGAATGGTACGTGATATCATATTCAGATAGTAATATGATCATTTGTTATAGTCACAGAGTTGTCAAGTATGGATTCTGTATACGTATGAAACTGTACAATTTATTATAATTTAAGAAATTAAATAGGAATGGCCATTTACCTAGGATAAACATAAAGAAAAAAATTAAGTCTTCCTCTATTATAATCAAATTCGATGAGTTCGTATTATTGTATAGGGTTAGTTTTTCTGCAATTAATGCAGATAAGTTATCTGTATTGAGTCCGGCGGAAATTAATGTGTTTTTGTAATTTTAATTTATTTCAGGGTTATAATAATCTTTATAATTATAATTTTTTTATATTTCAACACCAAAACTACGTCGTTTTGAAAGTAAATGCAATTTTTTTTGTATTATATATTAGTTAACAATTCGATTTTTAAATTTGGGCATTATAATTAGCATTTTCTTTTTAGAGGAAAAAAAACAAGAAAAAACAGGTCGGCGTCTTCGGTTGACAATGAATGGTCGCTGTCCATTTCAGTTATGACGTCACATGTTTAGCCATAAAACTCCACCTAAAATTTGAGTGGCCTACTTTATCATGTTCTTAAAATTAATTACTGCATTTAAGGCTTTTGTACAACCGCATTCAGATGTGGACCATAGTAAATTAACGCCATTGACCGCACAGTTTTTATCAAAGAAGAATATATTTTATATTATTCTTTTTAATATCTATATACAATGAATAACAATTATTACAATTTTCTTTTTTTTTGAGTTACCCAATCCTAATTATCTCTTTGAGACGAGTTGGCTCCCTCCGGTATCCCCACGAGTTTCAACTCTTTGAGCCGGCTATGAGACTAATCCAGAGTGCGGGGAAACAGTGATGGCTAAAAGTTCAGCCCCTCCCTAAGAATGCATTCAGCGGGAATCGAACACAATTATTACAATTTTCTTTGTCTTATATTAGTCATTAAATAAATAGCAAGACAAAGTATTATTGTACATCTGATTTACTTTACTTCTAAACTTTTATTATTTTGTTATTATATATATATAAAAAATATTTATTGAATAATAATAAATTATCAATGTTAATAATTAGTCCCTCACTAAAAAAATATTTATAATAATTAATATATCTTATTATTTATAATAACACCTATAATTTTAATATTTTATTTTCTCCTCATCTCAAAAATTTCGGGTCGCCACGGATTAATTGTAATGCGTTTTCTTAAGTTTGTACTTTTCATTTCGGGCTTTTTCACTCTTTTGTCCTTCATTAATTATTTAATAACTATTTTGTCTCTTATTGCAAATTATCTATCAATCTGTCCCTCTTTAATCGATTAAATTGAATATTTAATCGATTAAATAGTCAAATAAAGATTTAATCGATTAAATCTTCAACTTAATCGATTAAATCTTCCTCTTTTTCCAAAGAACAACCCTATGCATGGGAGATTTAATCGATTAAATAAGAAGATTTAATCGACTAAATCTTCAAGTCAACGATTTTTGTCTATTTTGGCCGTTTAATCAATTAAATTTTTGGCTTAATCGATTAAAGAGGGGCAGATTGATAGATAGTTCTAAATAAGGAGCAAAATAATTATTAAATAATTAACGAGGGACAAAATGATGAGAATGCCTTTCAGTTCATCTTAAAACGCTATTAAGCCTTGAAATCCTTACTGTTAATTCAATTTATTAGTAGAAAATTTTTAAATATTTTTTAGGAATGTGAAAATAAATAACCGTTGATTGACGAAAATCAACAGTTAAGATATGATAGTGACCTTAATAATAATATTATTTGTTAGTAACAATATACTATTCCTTCGTTATATTCTGTCAAATTGTAATTCCCAAATAAAAAATAGGGAAGGATATACTTATCAATAAAAAAAATTTATCACATTTACCATCAATCTAATCACCGTTAATTCCGTCAATCTAACGGTTATAATTTACTGAAAATTATTGGGTCGAATTTATTAATTATTTATTAATTCTTAATAAATTATAACCGTTAGATTGAAGAAAATCAACGATGATTAAATTAGTTGTAAAGATGGTAATTTTTTTTTTGAAAATAAGTATATTCTTCCCCATATAAAATATATATTTCTACGTGTTTATCAAAAATAAAAAAAAAATATATTTCTACGTTACCAAACACCATCTATACTTGTCTTGTCTTTATATTATGTGTAGCTACTAGGTTCTTTCTATAGTGCCATTGACTCACAGCAACAGCATAGAGACCCAGCTTTTGTTTTTGTGAGTTCACCATGGAAGATAAATTAGCAACAACAAGTGAAGGACAACCTATAAGATGTAAAGGTGCGTCATTGCTTCATGAAAATATGTTTTTTATATTCTGTTATCATAGATCCTATATAGCCTACTAAGCCATTCTCATTTGAAGTTTGATATGAATGGTACTTGTTCTGTTTTCCATTGCAAAACTGTAGCGGCGGTTGTTAGAAGACCCGGTGAGCCTTTGGTTATTGAGGAGATCATTGTGGCGCCTCCAATGCCTCGTGAGGTTCGGATTCGTGTTATATGTACCTCTCTCTGCCACAGCGATATCACTTTTTGGAACATGCAGGTTTTTTTATCCAGTTTTTTAATTATTTCTTGATTTTAATTTGTTTTTCACTCAGTACCTTTCCAGCACTATTTTTTTTATTTACGGTTTTGTCCTTATGATTTTAAATTTTTTTACTAGTCATACCTTTTGAAGGAATTTTTAAGATTGCTTTTTCTATGTTTTGAAGGACCCTCCTGCCTATTTTCCAAGAATCCTGGGTCATGAGGCAATTGGGTGAGTTTCTGTATTTTAGTTATGGGAAATGCTTTTCTCCTCTTCTACATAAGAGAAGAATTGTCTACAAAAAAGTGGACTCAGCAATTAGAAAAATAAAATAAAAACAAAAACAAAAACTTGGCACGAAATTTGACGTATGTGTGTAGGAATCAAATCTTCTCTTAGTTAAAAGGAGAAAAACATTTCCCTTTAGTTATTCTTATTATGATTTTATTTACTGAAAGTTTCTTTCCCAATATGATCTTTTTGTATATGATCTTTTTGTATTAACATTAACTTTTTACGCTTTATGTTTACTGAAAATTTATTGTGGACCTTAAGTTGTACAAAAGGGGTTTCTGCTCCTAATTTTGGTGCCTATTTGTTTGATTACATGTAAATAGGCATTCTGGGTTACATGTAGTGAAATTTTTAAGGGTCGTCTCTATAAATTGTGTAGTAAAATTGCTTGTAATATAGCCTAATTCTCAACAATAGTTAATTATGTAAATCCAATTTTAGGGAAAGGATTGAATAAATATGAGACTGATTTTGGTGTCTAATTTATGAGCATGAGAGTCTGCAAGCATTTTGGTGATTCAACTAAAGTATTTTGAACATTGATTTATGATGTAAATTCTGTGACTGTATATGTTTCTTCATTTTTCTTATGTTAAGTTGGTTGTAAATGAATTTCCACCATATGCATAAGTTAATTTCTTCCACAAATACAAATACTGAAGACTATGGGAACTGATGATGTGTTTAACCAATTTTTCTGTAACATAGGGTTGTGGAAAGTGTAGGGAAGGATGTAACTGAAGTTACGAAAGGAGATGTGGTTATTCCAATTTTCCTACCAGATTGTGGGGAGTGTATAGATTGCAAATCAACCAAGAGCAACCGTTGTACTAATTTCCCTTTTAAGGTGTCTCCATGGATGCCTAGACATGGTAACACTAGATTCACTGACCTAAACGGAGAGATTATATACCATTTCATGTTTGTTTCAAGTTTCAGCGAATACACTGTGGTCGACATTGCCAATGTAACAAAGATTGACCCAGAAATTCCTCCTGGCAGGGCATGCCTTCTCAGTTGTGGTGTATCAACCGGTAATTTTCTTAACAATGCAAATGCTAAAACCACTTCCCATTAAACCCCGACTAGTGAGGGTGGGGTGAGGGAAATCTTTGTACATTGCCTTACACTTGCATAATTGTAAAGAAGCTGTTTCGTAGATTCAAATCCACGACCTTTCAGTTATGAAGGAATAGTTTTACCACTGCTTCAGGCTCACCCTCTAATTTAGAGGCTAACAGAAAAGAGCAACATTAATTATAAATTATGGTCAAAGTAATTGGTGGTGAATAATTCAAGGTTGTCTTGTCTTACAAGTTCACAACATTCCTCTGATTCAGTGTTTTGAAATCTTAATTAAAACTTCCATGTTCAGGGGTAGGTGCTGCTTGGAGAACAGCAGGTGTGGAGCCAGGGTCTACGGTAGCTATTTTTGGGCTGGGAACTGTTGGATTAGCAGTATGGACTCTTTGAACATGACTTTTTTTTCTTTGTGACTTTTGTGGTTATCTATATACTGAAATATGGACTCATTATATTTGATTGGTCTCCTAGGTTGCAGAGGGAGCTAGACTTTGTGGAGCAACTAGGATTATAGGTGTGGATGTCAACCCAGAAAAATTTGGAATTGGTAATGCACTGTTTATTTAATAAGACCAAGACCATGTCAACAATTAAATCAAATAAAATATTGTTAGCCACCCTCATATTACAAAGGTTTATAGTAGAAGGAGGTGGAAGGGTACTAAGGGAATTGTACCGACTACTGAGGCTGAAAAATGTGAGAGCAGAGTTGATTGCATAACCAACCTGCACACATGGCAAGAGATGTGGGGGTGTGCTTGGAATCAGTATATGAAAGAAACGAGTATGAGAGAGATTGTTCTGAATTTTATTGCAATAAAGGTGGAATGTTTCCATTCCAGGTCCCTCAAAGAATCTGTGGCATTGCCTTTTATCTTGTATCTTTTTTTATTTTCCACTATTAAAGAGAGTGAGAGTGACACATACAACCTGTAATCTTTTTTTTTTTTTTTTTTTTTGATAACATTGTAATCTTTCTTTTTGATACTGAAATCAGTCTAATATCAGTTCAGAAGAGGGAAATTCTGGATTTGTGAAGAACACTTCTGATTCTAATTTCTATCATATATGTTTTTATGATTTCTTTTGATTATTATTATTATTATTATTTTTTTGTTATGCAAGAATTCTGAATTTAATTTAATGGGTTCTCGTTTAATCAGGAAAAAAGTTTGGACTCACAGACTTTGTCCATGCTGGAGAATGTGGGAACAAACCTGTGAGCCAGGTCTACTCTCTTGAAGACTTTCAATCTTTGTTATGATTTATATGATCTGAGTCTTGAAATTCCCTTCTTGTTTCCCCGGGAAATAGATATGATAATATCTCTTTGCATGAGATCAAATGAAAAGATTAAAAGAAAATTGTAAATATTGTATGCATATTCATGAGTCCAATGTCTTTAATAAAATCATGTGCTAAACTATATTCAAATGTGGTTGCTGAGCAGGTTATCTTAGAGATGACTGGTGGGGGAGCAGATTATTGCTTTGAATGCGTTGGTATGGCATCATTGGTGCATGAAGCATTTGCTGCTTGTAGAAAGGTATATGTCACTCCCTCATACGTTCCCAAGCACATCCTTGCTTTCTCATATATAGGCAGACATTGATTATGTGATTAAAGCTATAACTAAACTATGATTTTGACCAATCACCTCCGCATAAAGCTTGAAAATACCGCTAAAAGTAGGAAAGTCTTAGTTTGTGCTAACTTAATTGAAATTCCATACACTTTATGATAATAGACTTTACAGTTAGATAGAAATAGGCTTGATTTAACTTACCAATAATGTGAGCTCAAGCTGAAAGCAATAAGTGGAAAGCTGATGATTTTGCCTTCAGGGATGGGGAAAAACAGTTGTTTTAGGAGTGGACAAGCCAGGATCCAGGCTGAGCCTCAGTTCTAGTGAGGTCCTTCATGATGGGAAGAGCCTCATGGGATCCTTATTTGGAGGACTCAAACCTAAGTCTCATGTGCCCATTCTCCTTAAACGTTACATGGACAAGGTACTTAATGGAATTTCTTTTATTTCATTTTTGGATTTTCTTCTCTCCCCCCCTCTACAGTGATATATATGTCACACATAGTAATAATAATTATTTAAAAATAATAATGACAAATAATGAAATATCAAATCATTTGGGACATTTCTAGTCTGTTAAATTTTGCCCCATTTATTAACAGGAACTGCAGTTGGATGAATTTGTCAGTCATGAGGTGGAATTTAAGGACATCAATAAAGCTTTTGATTTATTGAATAAAGGACTGTGTATTCGATGTGTGATTTGGATGGACAAATGAGAACATTCTTATGTAATCGGCCCTTGAATAATGACATACAACATTAAAAATATTGGACAGTGCTCTTTTCTTTTGTATTTGATTAAAACATATTCTATAAAACAGGTATGCTATTCTATTACACTGCAAATGCACTTGAAGCACCAGTAAAGTATTTAATAGGGAGGCTTTAGTGATCTTTGATGCTCCGAAGTGTTTTGGTATGTATACTCCAGAAATTGCATCATTTGGTATTTTCCCCATGCAGCCTCTCCAGTCCACTGCAGCAAATGTGCCTTCTGTTAGCCTTGGTGACCCTTAGTCCGCGTTGTCGTCTTGCCTAACTTAGTTATTGGAACACTTGATTTTTGTATTCATAAGCCATAAGATACAGTTCTCTGTTTTGTGATAAAGCTTGCAAAGTTGTGTTTTATTTGCCAAAATTTCAACAGCTAAGAAAACTAAATTTTTTTACCCAAGTAATATAAGTGGTCTTTAATACAAACTGATTTTGAAAACTAAGCCTTTGCTCCGTTGAGATAAAACTCATCTTTGAATTTGTTTGTCTTGCTACATCCTATTGTGATTGCTTGAGAAACAAAACGACTTGTTAACATCACATAAGATTGTGATACACAAAGGTTAAGTAACTCAACTCAACTTTTGATGATGGTACCCAAGTAAATTGTCCTTGGGTAGCAAATCAGGCAATCTGTGGTATCTTTTAAGTAAGAGAGTCATTGTCACTAAATAAATTGAAGCTTATTGAATCTGAATCTAACGTAGAGCCTTGCGTAGATTAGTTGGTCACATTTGATATCTGTTATCTAAAGTCCCATTTAAACTAATACTTGCATCGGTGTATATTGTGCGCACCTGAAATATGAGCTCCCAAACCTTGTATGTAGTTCATCTTTTATTTTATGATTTGTCAAGTGCTTATTTACATTTTTATTAGTCATGCGTATATTGTTTAGATAGTTCTCGTGCAGGGGATATTATATGGGCTCTTTGACCAATTGGGGTTTTTTGTGATTTTAATTTATCAATTTGGTATTTGGTCCAAAGAATTTACGAACGAGGGTCATTTAGTGACGCGAAAGGAACCCAGCGTCACTGAGTGCCGCTACCATCTCTCGCGTCACTCACACTTTTTTATTTTATTTTTATTTTTTTCTATTGAGTGTCGCCCCCCTCTCCTGGGGCACTCACAGAATTGTGCCAAGTGACACAATCTGGTTACTCCTGTTACCGTAAAACTTCGGAAAGGAAAGCCATAACTTTTGACTCGGGTATTCAAATCAGATTATTTTTTTTTTTATTTCACATAATTTTTCGAGATCCACGCAATGACATCTCATTTGACATATTTTATCTCTCACAAACATAATTCAAATATGTAAAAAAGTGTAATTAGTGTTGCAAATTTGAACTATATTAATGGAAGATAAAATATATCAAATGAGGTGTTATTGTGTAGATCTTGAAAAGTTATGTGAAATCAAAAAAAAAAAATCATCTGATTTGGATACCTGAGTCAAAAGTTATGGCTTTCCGAAGTTTTACGGTAATAGGAGTAACCAGATTGTGCCACTTGGCACAATTCTGTGAGTGCCCCAGGGGAGGGGGGCGGCACTCAATAGAAAAAAGAAATAAAAAAGTGTGAGTGACGCGGGGAGATGGTAGCGGCACTCAGTGACGCTAGGTCCCCTCGCGTCACTAAGAGCCTGTTTGGATCCTCTTATTTTTAATACCCGAGTCAAAAGTTATGGCTTTCCGAAGTTTTACGGTAATAGGAGTAACCAGATTGTGCCACTTGGCACAATTCTGTGAGTGCCCCAGGGGAGGGGGGCGGCACTCAATAGAAAAAAGAAAAAAGAAATAAAAAAGTGTGAGTGACGCGGGGAGATGGTAGCGGCACTCAGTGACGCTAGGTCCCCTCGCGTCACTAAGAGCCTGTTTGGATCCTCTTATTTTTAAGCTAGAAGCTACTTATAAGCTAAAGCTAAAAAAAATAGCTTAAAAAAAGAAGCTAAAAGCTGTTTGAAAATTACATGAAAATTTTAGCTTAAAATTTACTTAAAAGCACATATTTCAAGAAAATTATCTCTCTTTCTATCTTTATCACGCTTCGTTTAAAAAAAAGCACACAATTCAAGAAAAACAGATAAGAGCTTAAAAAAAGCTCCTCCTAGGAGCTTTTAATTTTCAGTTTTTTTCTTCATTATAGAAAAAAGAGCTTTTCATTATAAGAGCTTTTTCCAAAACCTGTTTGGCCTAGCTTATGCTTATAAGTAGCTTCTAGCTTAAAAAAAAGAGGATCCAAACAGGCACTAAATGACCCCATTCATAAATACTTTGAACCAAATATCAAATTGATAAATTAAAAAAATAAAAACCCCTAATAAGTGAAAGAGCCATATTATATGTGTATTCATTTTTAAAGATTTTGGACTTACTAAATAAATGATTGTTATCATATTTTTGACTTGCATTGTACATGTTCACTTATTCGATATTCATTTGTCAAGTTTATTTTTTAATATCAAAGAGACCTCAAATGAAGTTTATCCAACATGACCATTGCCAATTAAATATTATTAAGTTGAAATGTGGATAAACTTTTTATATTCTACAATCATTTGTAATTATTACTTGTATGTCAAGTGAATAGCATCATCCATTATGTGTTCCCCAATTATCTATTTACTAATTACATTCTTGCTTAATTAACACTCCTTGAACAATGTACTACGAGAGAACGCTCTTGAACCTATTATCTTGGCAATTACACACACTAGGACACCTAATCGCATTTAGATTATTTATATTAGCTACTTTTATTTTCCTTAACATTTATTAAGGCACACATCACTCTGTAGAGAATTGTGATGGAGACAAAAAAAAGGTTCTAATTAAAGTGAGTCATTGACTGATAATATCAGTAATAATTGGAAGAGTGCATCGAGCTACAACAAAAGCTTCAGTCCAAGCAGCTTATTACAACATACAATTAATGAAGAAATGAAAGATCTACGAAATTAATGACACGGAGAAATGAGTGTAAAATCAGAAGAATATGGAGATACAAATAGTAGACAAGCCAAAAATGAAAGTCCTGGTAGAGGCTTGAATGCCTGAAGCTCCATTTTTGTTTTCAGACGGGCTGGCAGCAGCTTCGTCAGAAGAAGGGCTTGTACCACCTGAATGATTTTGTTTTCCAAAAACAAACAGCTCAACTAGTTACACTGAAGTATATATATAGGCATTTTCGGGTATATATGGCTTCAATTTCGTTGACCATTATATGATCGTAAAAACAAATTATGTTGGTGAATTATCAAATTGCACAAATGTGAAAGGTCTTACTTTTATTATTAGACTGTTGATTCCACGTGAATCTAATAGCTCACATGATCAATAAATTAGTATCGTTAGAAAAGAGTGGAATCGTTATACAAAAAGAAAAAAAGAAAAAGAAAAGAAAAGAGTGGAATCAATAACTAATAATATGTGTAAAATTTATACCTATATAAGTTGATTCATCCCCAATTATGCATCTATGTGCTCTTTAAGAAAGATTTTCTAAGGAAAAGAAAATTACTTAGTACTTCTTTGGGAAGTTTAATTTTTAATTTTTTTTTCCTCCTTATAAGTATAAAGCCAAACATATTTTTTTACAAAAAAACTTATTATAAAAAGAGTATTTTTGATATAATGAATAAAAAAGAGAAAAACTAAAAGTTCTAAGAGTAGTTTTTTTTAAAGATATATACTAACTTTTTAGAATTTTCATTTATTTTAGTTTCACCCTAATCTAAATTTATATTTACCAATTTTACTCTTTATCCTAATAATTCATCATAATAACAAATTATTTCATCTTTTCTTCTTCAAATCCTCATAGTAGCTTTATATAATCACCAAACAGCTTTTAACTTTTTTTTTTAAAAAAAAAAAAAATTTAACTTTAATTAGCTTAACAATAACTTTTAACTTAAAAAAAATGTCCCAAACATGCTTCTAAATATATAGTTTAGGGTGAGATTGGATTATGCAATGTATTCAGAATATTTGGAGTGAGGCTTTTGGGAAATGATCTCTTGGGATCTCTTTGGCTTAGGTATTTGGCTTGAGAGTGAGTGAGATCTTTTGGTGTTTTACGTGTTATTTCTTTGTATTTCATGTTATCCCTTTCCTACGCTTACTGTTTAGTGTCTCTGTGATGAATATGAGATAATAGAAGTATTTTACTATTCAATTGTTGTTATCTTTCTTGTTGAATATTTTGAGTTCCATCAATTTGGTATCAGAGCACTTCCGATCTAGGGGTGCTTTCTGGTCCAGATCTACAAAAAAAAATAAAAATGGAAAACAAAACCAACAGATATCTTGAAGCAATGGAGAAGGCCAGCATGAAGAATGTCATGGAATTGCTGCGGAAGATGCTAAAGATCATGGATGCTTGGGAAGAAAAACGAGTAGCTCGATTGAAAGAAGAAGCAAAACACGAACAAACAATTGAAATAGAAGAATATAAAGAAGAAGAAGAAAGAGAGCAGGAAGAAGTCGCAGGATCAGAGAACAGAAAAGAAGGAAAAAAAAATAAAAGTGCAGAAAAAGTAGAAGAAATTGATAAAACAGAAATGGAAGGAGCAGAAATAATTGAAAAAGGGGTGGAAATTGTAAAGGAAGAAGCAAATGAAGACACAACAACATCAGCCAACAAAGCAGAAAAAGAAAAAGAAAATACAGCAGAAGAAATGGGAGAAAAAGGAAAAGAGGTGCAGGGAGATGAAGAAGATGGAGAGGAAGAAGAAGACGAAGCCAGATCTGATGAAGAAAAAGTGCAGAGAAGCGAAGAAACGATGATGGTCGCATGGAAGGTGGTGACCGGTTGGGGCGAAAGTGGTTTTATTGGAAACGGGCCTGGTTTGGGTCAACATTCTGCAATCACGACTCGGTCCTATAATTTAATTGGGGAAACAAATGGGGAAGGGGCTGAGTCTAGTAATGGGCCTTACAATAGAGGGCCCAATTTAATTAACCCCATCAGTACCAAGGGGATGCAAACACAACCCAACAAAGGCAACTACAACGTAGGGTGCAACTCAAAAAAAAGAGGCGAGACTGGAAACGGCAGAGCGGGAAAAACTGACAGAGACGACAATGATGATCGGAGGACTATACGATTCTGGCGACTGTCTTCAACGGAGATGGCGGAACGAAGGCGGCGCAACTTCTGGTTCATGTGTGACACTGGAAATTCATCAACCCAGGTTCCTTCAAACTCCCCTCCTCTTGACAAGCTTATGGGTACTTGCAAACCCCCTCTTGACTGTTCAGCCAATTGAGGAAAGCTGGAATGGGGCACAATAAAGTCAGCCCAACCAGAAGAGCAACTAAGCACTACCAGAAATAGACACAGAGCTGGTGGGTCAGGGTTTGTACAGCTCAACACGATGCGATTCTTTTATCCTGATGGTGTTCGTCTATTCTCCCAAGAGATAGAGGAGGATACACAACTTGAATATGATATTTTCGTTGTCGTTGGATGGATTTTGGATAATATGATTCATGAAACGAAAATGTTGCAATTGCTAATTGGGTCAATATGCTTCGAGCAGTGGGATCCTGGTGAATGTTTTCTCACATCACCTATCCTCTTTCTTCACTTTGAGGATAAGGTGAATTTTAAAGGGGGAGTATTGATAGGCCTTCAATAAAATAATGAAGCCCATTAGTTAGGAATTAGTATAAATAGAGATGTTTATGGTGAGATTTGATTATGCAATCTATTCAGAATATTTGGAGTGAGACTTTTGGGAAAGGATCTCTTGGGATTTCTTTGGCTTAGGTATTTGGCTTGAGACTGAGTGAGATCTTTTTGTGTTTTACTTGTTATTTCTTTGTATTTCATGTTATCCCTTTCCTACGCTTACTCTTTAGTGTCTTTGTGATAAATCTGAGATAATGGAAGTATTTTACTATTCAATTGTTGTTATCTTTCTTGTTGAATATTTTGAGTTCCATCAGTAAATAATAAACTTGACGACCGCTAAACCAATTCCTTGGGTTTGTGATCAACTAAACTTTAATGATGTAATACTTTTCACGCCCGTAAGATAATAGGGAATAAACTAAGACAGAAAAACTATGGAACCTCACAAATCCTATATAACCCATTGACGTTTAGAAAAAGTGATGGAGAGAGAATGAAAAAAGAAATGAAAGAAGATGATATATTGTGAAATAAATGTATTAAAGTTTTTTGTGCATATATCAGTACTTAAAATAATATGATGCGTATTTTCCAAATAATAATATGATGCGTAAAATTCGACAGACATACCTGGACTAGGAGCCGCAACTCCATTTGAAGGACTGCTGGCTGGTCCTTCTGGTGCCAAACCTTTCATTAATATTTAGAGAAACAAAATTAAGTCAGCACTGAGGCAATCTCAAGCTAGTAGCAACCGTAAGATGCAAAACCTATATTGGCATAACAAAGTTGTTTAAAAGAAACGTTTCTTTCATTTGTGTTTGCCTAGAGGACACATTAAAAAAAAATATACAATGCTTTCACAAAAAAAAAAAGAAAAAAAAGAAAAAAATCTCAATTATAAAAGTCTCAATTTTAATTTTTTGGGTTAAAACTATTTTTTTAATAGCATAATAAATTTTGTAAATGAGTTAAAAATGTTTTTCTTATTAGGAATGCTATTTAAAGGTAAAATACAAACTTAGTAAAACAAGAAGATAAATTTAGACGTAGTAAAAATCTAAATGGATGGGTCAATTTTATTTTTCAATTTGTTAGGCATGACTTTTATCATATATAGTATAAGGGAAAAACACTAGTGTCATCTTATGGCACATTCAATTCATTTTGCGTGTCATTTTTTTTTCAAAATGAGACTCATCTTATTTTGGGTCAGCAAAGTTGAAACTTCTCCCGTAAAAGAAAAAGTTAAAAGCCCTAGTATAAACTCTCAATCCTTTTTCGTAGGAAGAAAAAGGGTGAGTGACCTCAGAAAGGTTAAATAGTTATGAATATTAATTATGAGTAGGGGTATAAATAAGCTAGGCTTTTACTTAAATAGGTTAGGCCTGTGTTAAAAATATTGAGTCTAGTCTGGCCTATTAGTCTGTGTAGACCCCAAATTTCAAGTTTGGCCTGACCTATAACCTTAGCCTAGGGCTGTTAGCCTGTGTAAACTTATTAAACATTCAACAATTAAAAGAATAATTAAAATAATATCACTTTATTATTCAAAATTATTAAAATAATAATTTTATTTATTTTATTTAAAATAAATAATATGATATAGACCGGCCTGAAGGCTTATAAGCCCGACATATACAAAAAAAGTCTATAACTTGTTTTTTAAATAATTTTTTTTAAAAATTTAGATCTATACTATTTTACTATTTGTAATAGGCCAAATCTGACTTAATATAAGCTAGGCCGTAGACTCTTGTTGGCCGACCTAACCCGTTTATACCACTAATAATGAGCCTTGTGTAGAACCCAATTGTGGAGTTAAATTTGGGGCCTTGATGTTCTGATGTTCACAATATTTCTGAAGCGCTATAGCACGTGCCATAAGCCCTGTTAGACAAATCACTTAAATCTAAACTATTCGGCCTTAATGAATTTAGATTTTTTCATATAAGTAAAAAAGTAAATAAATAAATGTATGGTTTTTTGTAGCTGAATAAATAAGTCATTCTATAACATTTTGGTGCTCTATTTGGAAATCAGGAAAAAAAAGTTGAATACGGAAACACAAAAGCAGGGAAGTTTATTACAAAAAGAAGAAGAAAGACAGAAATAAAGAAAGAGGACTTTCCATTATTAGGATCCATGGAGAGTTAATAAACAAAACAATAAACTGATGGAAAACTTACTTGGTGATATAGAACCTTCACTTGTTGGAGGCAAGGACACAGGAACTCCAATAACTGTGGCATCGTGAGAAAGAAAAACAAAATTGAAATGTCATTCAACATACATAAGCAAAGAATCTTCTATGCTCGATATTACATTAATCATGGATAGAACAAGTCTAAAGATTGATCTTTGGATTATATAGAAATACCTAAGATGGAAAATAAACTAATGTTTTCCAAATGTAAACGGCGCCAGTAATTAAGTATTTAAAAATAAGTGAAGTTATTTACATAATTTTTTTAATTAACCATGCACAATATCTTGATGCAGATGCATCAAAATTCAAGTAATTTGATCTTATCACATAGTAGTTAATCATATCCAGAAGTAATCACAACATTGTAAACAATGTATTTTTATGTTTATAATTATACTGTTTATACAACATTAATTATTTTTTTTATGTTTATTCTTTGAAAGAGTTTTTGTGATGTATTTAACAAATATTATATTTAATAAATAATGTGTATTTAATTATTATAGCACATTTTACTATGAATATATTTAATTAATAGTGTGTCAAATAAATTATTTTTTATTTATTTATGTCAATTTGTGTTCCTAAATTATCGATTTATTTTTTAAAAAATAAATCGATATAATGGAATATTATTTCTTATCATTTCTGTGTCTCAAACTAAAAAAATATTTTTGGCATGCACCCCATGTAAACGAATTTGAGTTGTTTGTCATAGTTATTTTGGGTCCAAGCTATCACTATTGGTAATATTGCATTATTATTGCTGTTGTTTGTTGGCGGTTGGCAAAGGGGAGGTTGGTAGTTCGACGGCTTTATTGTCAATTTTAAATTTCAACAATATCAGTCATGTGTGCATGTGCAGCATTACATTACACAAACAAGCTACTTCTGAGCTGGAAATTAACAGCATTAGAATGGAAATAAATGTTAAAGGAGTAAAAAGGTAAAATACGTATTAAATATGATTTTGTAAATTATATTTGAATGTGTATTAAAATAAATTTATAAAAAAATTATATTAAAAGAATGTAATTGTTAATATTTTTAATTTGAGCTACATTACAAATTACAATCTTCAAAGTTCTTGTACATATTAAACCTGAAATATTTATGTGATTGTCACAATTGAAATTCATAGATAAATTACTCTTGTGACAGTAGTTCATATTCATAAAAAAAATAACAAAATAAAAACAGAGACACACGTGTAAAATTGGTATGTATTTTTTGTTTTTAGATATGAGCATAAAGTTATTAGAATTTAAAATTTAAGCTTAGAAAAATTGGTATTAGTGGTCCTAAGTAGTCCGCTGTACTAGCCCACTCAGTTGCTTTGATGAAGTTGAGATTCCAGAACGTAAAAGTAGGAATTTTTATAAATTTAGTTTTGAAATAGTACAATTATTTTAAGGATAAGCAACAACATTTGAATTTGAACCAAAATTGAAAATGTTAAAATAAAGTTACTACAAAAATTGTTTAGTTTTTTGAGTTTAAATTGTACAAAAATGGTACCACTCGCCCTATTCAATTTAACCTCGCCCATTTTAAGAAAAGGTTCTGGCCGTGTGGTGGTGATGTGGGCACATTACTTCACAAAAATCGATACGACTATAGATAATAAATTGAAAATTACACATTAAAATTTCACATAATCTGATCAGGGGAAATTTTTTGTATGTATCTCTTTCTTAATTAATGATAATTGGATCTATTTATTTAATACTTGTAAAATGAGAGATACACACAGAAATTTTACAATCACCGGGTCATGTGAAATTTCCACTCCCAAGAATTATAACATCCCCATTCTTTAGGGGCGTTTCGTTCGGGAAATATTTTTAGAATAGTAAGAAAATGGGATAGATAGAGAAATAATTAGAAAGACAGATAAAATGAGATAGATAGAAAAATGTAAAAAAAAGTTGTTTAGTGGAGAAAAATTTTACTGAAAAAATTAGGTAACTTTATGAAATCAACAGTGCATTAAAAGCCAGATAACCGGTTTTTCGAAAAATCCCACCTTCAAATTGGGTTTCTAAAAGTGCAGATATCTATATTTATCATAAATCTAGACAAATTTGATAGATGAGTTTTTGGTGAAAAAACGTTAAAACAAACGTGGTGTTTCTAAAAGTCATACTTGCAAAAGATAGATATCCGCTAAAAAGCTCCCAACTAAACACCACCTTAAAGACAGCTAGATTTGATTCCTGGTTTTTAGTGCACACTGTTCATTATACCTTAATTAAGCAACTATTATAGTATAGGAATCACGCCTTTCCATGATTTAGAAGTGAAAAAAAAAAACGATACGAGAAGGAATTTCTGACAAAAATTATAATAAAACCTAACCTATATTATGAAGATGATGAAGTTTACCTGAGCAGGTGCTGACTGGAGGTGTAGTCACACGACATACAGAAGGAAGCTTAAGAGCTTTGTTGATATCAATCTTGATGCCAATAGAGTCAGGTTTGGCTAGAAGGTGACACAAGCAGATGGGGTTGCTACCAACCAGCCCTGCGAACTCAGGGCAGCAACCTTTGTCTGGTTTTGTCAGATTACTCCCATCTTCTACGAAGGTTAGGCAATCTGACATGTTTGCTAATACTGTTAAGCAGTCAATGCCCGCTGGGGATGGAGCTGTGGCTGTTTCCGGCGCTGGAGTCGACTGAGCAGATACGCCATAACATGCTAGCACAAGGACTAAACTGACAATAGCTACCACTCTGCAGCTGGTGTTGGTGGTGGTGGTGGTGTTGGTGATTGCCATTTGATTGTTATGATCTAGTTTGGCAGTGTTTTATGTCCCAGATCAGATCAGATCAGGGTTGTGCAATTGAGCGGCTTAAGTTAAATAGAGTCTTGGACTTGGAAACAGAGTCCCTAACTTTTGCTGGTTCAATTTAATGAAATTAACAGCTAACTAACTCATGTGCACCTTCTCTTTCTGTCTTGCTTGGGGTTCTGTCGACCAATTTCTTTTCTCAAGGCACAAAATTATAATGAAAATATTTTCTTCTAATTTTAGTTATTTATGTGAAAAAAAAATAAAAGTTATATTTAAATTAAAGATTTTTTTTTTTTAATTTCAAAAGGTGGTGAGCATTAGATATATACTTAAAAAATCAAAAATAATGTTTATTTCCAAAGATTTATATAAATTTAAAGAGAGTGAACATCCGCGGGCTCCTCGCTCACTCTATCACTGTCTATGAAGCACCGACACTTCAAAAATTTTAACGTGTCGTGTCCGACACTCCAACACGCGTTATAGAAATTCAAAAAAAGTTCAAAAATTGCGTTGTGTTGAGTTTTTAGTTCTAACAATTAGATTCGTTAGATTACGATTATCATTTTATTGAGTTTAATATAAATATTTGGGATATCTTATATTTCTTTGCAAAATTGATGAATATTATAAGTTTAGTTTCATTTTTTATTAAATTATTAAATATTAAATATAGTATACATTACATAAATTAAAAATATTAATATCAAAACGTGTCTTAACGTGTGAAATCTAACATTTTTTTAGAATTAACGTATCGTAGTGTCGTGTCGTATCGCGTCTCGTGTCCCGTGTCGGTAACAGTGCTACATAGACCACTGTATTGAATCAATGTTAAAAATTTGGGAAGAAAAATTAATTGACTTTACCATCCCACCCTTATGATCTTATTCACTCAACCAAATTAATCGAGTAATATTATTTTATATATTCTTACAAATTTATTTATTACATCATATTTTTTAAAAATAATTTGTATTTGTTGGATATAATAATGTAATGAAATGCCATTGTCACAGCGTAGTCATGGATTATATAGTTGGCACCATTACCAAAAGTAATGTGATTCGCAAGCAGTTTATCTATTAGTATTTGTCAAATTTGGCCATGAGAAAGCTTACAGTTTGTTCACACATGACACATTGCCCCTTCGATGTGAACCTTGAAAAACTTTCACACATCCACGATTTGGTCTTTTTTAAACTTAGGAAAACGTGAAGGGTGAAAACATAAGAATCAACATTAGCATGATGAGCATGGGAGGTGTTTGCTGTAAGTACGGGTGTGTTTGGTACAGGAGAAATTTTTTGGTGATCGAGAATCATGATTAATGAGAATTTAGTAGAAATTGAGTTTACTTGGAATCTTACGAAAAAGGTGTTTGGTTCGCCAAAATATTACCGGGAATATTGGGTAAAAATTACTGATTCCATATTTGGTTTAGAACGAAATATGACTTGGAATATGAGGTTATTTTACAAAAATAACCCCAAACTATTTTTACTTTTGTAATTGATAGATTGGGTCTAGATTTTTATGTGTATTGGTGTATTTTTGTCTCAAAATTTATTGTTGTGCTCTTCCTTTTGCTTGGTATTCTGAATTACCATATTATTTTTGGTAATCTGAATAGTGATTTTTCTTTATAAATCAAATTACCGGTAATCCTTGGATGTCCGGGAATCGTAATTTATTCCTTCTACCAAACGTGGTAATTACATTTACCAAAGAAGGATTACCAATAATCCTCTTCAAAAACTTGAAACAAACACACCCTATGTAATCCATCAAACCATGCGTATGTGGGTCCCTCAAGAATGTTGTCCACAACTTTGGCAATTAAGAGGGTTTGGTATGGGGTTACGTTTGATTTCTCATCTGTTTTCACTCTCTTGGAAATGGGAGGTTGCTGCCTTGGAAGAACAAGAAAGCATTTATGATGCTAACAATTGTAGGTCTTAATTTTTGCCCATTTTGTTAAAGGACATCACATGTTCAGTTATTTATTTTGTGGTGGTTGGTATATCTTTGCTACCAGCTGTAATTTTTTACTTTGTTATTTATTTATTTATTTGCTTATTGATTGGATAAAATATGTAAACACTTTTTTTTTCGATTTGACCATTTGTCATTTACAAATGCATCCCTATAGACTATAGTTTTAATTGTTTCAATTATTTTCTTGCAATTAACTAATAATAACTAGTAGTTACGTAAATAACTTTCTTTCATTTATTTTCTGAACAATTTGATAGTGCACAAACATGTGAACAATTTTCAAATCTCATCACTTATTATCCACTCTAACTCATATCTTCAGTAAAGTGATAATAAATGTAGTGTCAAGTGTATGTATAATTTTGGTCTTTAATAAAAAAAAAAAATCTTAACAAATGCTAGGAAGAGAGTGAGATTGAAAAATTAAACAATCAAATAAAATTAAAATACCAAGCCACAAACCGTAGAGTGCTCATTTTGTGTTGCTCTAATAGTAGATAATATATATTCCAAAAAAAATAAAAAATAGTAGGTAATATATAATGCGGCGGAAACAATAACTCCAAGTCTGAATAATGGGAAATGATTTCTGCATCATATGGCCTATGTGCTGTGGAGATTTGAAAGGCACGGAATAGTCTTGTTTACTTGTAGGTAACTTCTTTACAAGCTCAGAAATTTTGGCAAGCTACTCCTTAAATATTTGATTGTGTGTTTTCTTTAGATTACATGACTATATATATATTAGACTCGTAATTTTTTGAGATTTCACGCTTCTTTAATGTTTTCCTAGATAGATCGATTTTGTTATGATTATATCTTTATTAATTTTACCTGTTTTTCATTCATTCAATCAATATTGTTATTTATATTTTCTAAAACCTAAACTTTGTATTTCATAAAAATTTCTCTCATCAGGAATTTAGCCTACAAGTAAATACTATATATATATATATATATATATATATATATATATATATATATATATATATAGGGTTAAGAATTTACACTCTTAATCTTGATCGTTGATCCCATTTATATATAAGGGCTCTAATTTTTTTAGTAATGATCAGCCATTGGATACAAGTGGATCAATGCTCAAGATTGAGTGTAAGTATTCTAACTCTTACACTGATGTAAGAATATCCTACCTCATATATATATATATATATATATATATATATATATATATATATATATATATATATATATGATAATGTCATCAATAGATTCAATACACTTACTGGACTATTGCGCATGACTCTACTAATTAATGGATTGATTTAAAAAATTTGGAGTCAAAAAGAATTATAATCCATTAAGCATGAATTGCATGTTCAAATAAGCATTAATTTGAAATCTAACAAATTACAACTGAATCCAAGTTCAAATAAAGCAGAGATTTAATTATAATATCTTCGATAGAAAAAAGGAAAGCAACAAAATTTGACATGATTTGAAATATATTTTGAATGAATTAATTGTAATTAATTATTTTTATTTTTAGAAATTTTCTTAATTTTTAGAAGGTATCGCCTATAATTTTCTTCGAAAATTTTCTTTATTACGAGGATTTAAAATTTTGAATTAATTAGTAATTAATCTATAAAATGGTGCTTAAGACCTCTATTGCAGAGTTGAATATTTTGTTATTTTGATACTTATAATTAAGAACAGAGAGTTTCTCTTTTATTAATTTCAATTTCTTCTATTTAGCTACTTTTTCTATATGTTTTTGGCATCATTTGGTATTAGAGCACTAGTTTGCTTTCAACCAATGGCTGAACTAAATCGTAGAGGTCATGGATGGAAAAGTCATGATGGTAATGGGTGTGTACTTGTCCATGCAAAAGACGAACAATCATGACATGTCCATGATTTGGAATGATAATCTGTGCTGGCGCAAAGCAAGAAAATCTAAGTTTTGGAGTGACGACTTGTGCAAACACGGAGTAAGAAATTTCAAGATTTTAAGCGACGATTTCTGCAAACAAAGTTGGATGTTCAATCTGAAAAAAGAAATGAAATTAGAGGATGTATCTAACAATGAAGAGGGGGACGTCTGAACCAACAGAGTCGAGGAGTATGGCATGGTATTCCATCAAATTTTCAAGATATCCATATTCAGATAGACATACTTGACTTTGAAGTCTATAATCATAATTCAGTTTATGTTTATCCAATCTATAATGATAATCCAATTTTGATGATTACTAAATTTATGATGACTATCTAATCTAGGAAGATAATCCAATTTATGATGAGAGTAAATACCCTTTTTAGTCCCTGGCAATATCCACGAAGTCCTTTTCAGTCCCTAGCAATAAAAAAAGGACAAATTGGTCTCTGAAATAACAAAAAAGGGGCCACGTTGATCCTTCTGTTAACTCCCTCGTAACGGCCAAATTGACGGTGCCCATGTGGCACTTTAGTGTGCTAACGTGGCTTGGACGTTTGAAAGCGTGGAAGAAGAGACGACGATGTTTTGTTGCAAATGGGTTAAGAGCTTTCCAAATTAGTGGACGACGTCGTTTCTTGCGTTGAGAATGAACCCTGAAGATGAAAATCGCCCAAAATGCTCAATCAAACCCTAAACACCAAAATCCCCCAAATTGATGAAATGAACCCTAAACAGAAATAAGCCCCCAAATTCTCCGGACATTGATGATCGAAAATCGACGACCTGTTGAGAGCTTTCCAAATTAGCGGACGACGTCGTCTCTTAGAGGAATTGAGGTGCTACATTATGAGGAGGATGGAAGCACATCAAAGGGTTTTAGGAACTATCAGGGGTAAAATAGCTCCTGCTCAACAAAAGAAACTAGATCTGTAATTGTAGTTCTTGGACATCCATGTCTTCTGTTTTAACAAATTGGACAGCACTCCTGTATCTGTACATTCTGCACATCTGTTTTGTAAACTTGGAATGCATAGAAAATCAATGAAGTCATGTGCCTATTTTTCTCTAGTTAAGGACCAATAAGGGCCCCGTGCTTTTTGCCAGGGACCAAAAAGGTCCTCGTGCAATTTGTCAGGGACCAAAATAGCCCTCGTGTTTTGGCATGATTGTTAAATCTAATATCCAACATGGAACTTGTGTAACAACAATTTCTTGATTTAGGCATATATATCTGTACATTCTGGTTTGTGATACAATGCAGGAAACTGACATATTCATTCCATGCCTAAGTATGCAATATACCATACTACAACAAAAATAGCATTGAGATGGCATTGAATACACAAATATATGATGCAATCAGACATAAAGGAATACATTGAAAGCTTCTTTATTATTAATCCAGAAATGTATGATGTAGACAGATTCCAACCAACACAGAATAGGCCATATAATACATCCTTCTTCATTAATTTGGATAACAAGATTACTGAGTACTCATTACACTATTGAAGGAAAAATACATTGGGGTAACTTGTTTTGACTGTTACAACACTAACAACAAACATACACATGATGATAACACCTACACAAGCAGCACCTAAGACCCTAGCTGACCTACCAACATTCCTTATTTGTTTGTCCATCCTTTCTAACTCCTCCACCATCTTCAGGTATAGATCATTCAGCTTTCTTTCCTGCTCATGAAGCTTAATTTCTTGTTCACTAATCTTCACATCTTGCTCTCTCATCATCATGTCCATAGACTTCAACTTGAAATTAATTTCAGCAACATCCAACTCCACATTGTGAATTCTTGCATCTTCCAGCTCCATCCGTTCATTACAGACATCATCTACCCATCTAAAAAAATCACAAAACGGCTTCTTCTCCTGCCAAAAAAACAAACCACGATTAGCAAGTGTTTCAACTTAATAAAGGTGCAGATTACACATGTATACCTTGAAATTAGGACACCCAAGAAAAGCCCTGTTTGGGTTTCTCTCGATTTTGAAGGTATAGACAATACTTTGTCTCCCACATTTGCACCTACGACCGGCGGTCCTTGTCAGTGTTCTTCCCCCTATTGAAGTACTCCCACTTGATCCACCCAAATTAGAGTTTATGAAGCGGCTCACAATTACTTTCACATTTTCATTTATCTCTTCGTAATATATTATTCATGTTCTGAGGTGTAAAATTATCAAGGAAATGATTTGTCCATTATGTTTTATAATTTCACAAGTCAATGCAATCACATATTCAGAACAATTAGCCCATAAAGACAGGAAAGAAATAACTTTTCACATGCATTGTCTAAAGAACTTGAATGTATTTATTAAACAAGCGTGTGAGCCTGACTAGATAAAACAATCATCTTTATCCGAACTGGATTCTGAATCTTCCTTAGCTTGTAGCTCAATAGGTCTCATCCTGTTTGTATTGGCTTCCAATGGAGGTAGTCCATCATCATCACTGGCATCTGTCTCATTCCTTTGTTCGAAGGTAGTTCTTTCATTTGAATCATATACCATCCCATATTTAAAAATTTCAGGCCTATATGGCAGGCATATAAAATCCAAGTTCAATATAGAAAAAATTATATGATTATTCAACAAGGGAGCACAATGCAAGTAAATCAGAGCTGTAAACAAGTGCACACCATTCTGGAGATTTCTGTAGTGCTCGGACTTGTTCATAGAAAAGAACTTGAGAAACAAGACATGCAACCTTGCTACCTGATTCAAGAGCCTTCTCCTTTCCACTTTTATAACACCTCGCAATTTTAAATTAAGTATTTAAAATATTAAATAAGTAATTAAGTGAAGGATTAATGAAAATCCTAAAGATTAGGCCAAAATACAAAGAAATGGCAAAATGGTAATTAGCCAACACGCAACCCTAGGAAGATAAAAATTGAGAAGACGGTCTCAGATGATAAAAATGACCCTGGAAATGGATTCCGAACGAAAAATTGAGTGGTTAGGCAAGTTTCAGAAAAATCAGTGAATATTGTTTTTATCGGGTCAAAATACCGCAGAACGATTGCACCGTAAAACATGCCAGTTGAGTTTTGAGCTCTAGGTTTCAAATATGAGTTATAAATAGTCTATAGAACTAGGAAATATGATTTCTGATAATATTTGATGGAATTAAGTCAGTTTGGGGAAGCGTGCCAACGGCGCGCGCAACAGCTTAAAACAGTGTTTTCTCCGAACGACCGGAAAACTCCAGATTCATCTGATCAAGTATAATTAAAGGAGAATTGTTAATGTTAAAAATTAGAATTTTTAAATAGGTTGTGAATTTACGGACGTTTAGTGAAAGTTCAGACGTGTTTTAAATCGCGTGATTTGGCGTGGGACCCACCCCACTTAAATCCCACTTAAGCCACATCATCTCCTCACTATTCACTCATCACTTTCACTTCTCTCTCTCTCCTTGGCCGCGCAACAGGCCCCTCCCCTTGCCATCTCCACTTTGATTTTTCTTTTCCCTTAAACCACTCATTTCTTCATCAAATCCAACAAAATTTGTGTTGAAATTTGTTGTAAATGGCCTTCTAAACCCATTGGCACTAGTGGCAAGCCTTGAATCTAGCTAAATCTTGCGAAAATCCCTCTCTTTGGTCGCGGCTTGCTTGTGTAGATTCATGAACTTGGAGCTTCTAGGTGCTCCAATGGTGGAGTATAGTTAGGAGGAGCCTTGTACCTTCCATTTGGGTGAGTTCTCTTGCATTTTAAACGGTTGAATGTGATGATGAATTCTTGAACCCTAAACCTTGAAATTTTGATGTGTGATGTTAGAGAGCTCAATTGGGAAAAGTTTGTACATGAAAGTGTCTTAGAATAATGTGTATTAGCTATAAATGCCACGAAAATTTTAGGTGAAAAATATGGATTTTTAACTTAGAATATTTTGAGGTGTCATGACTTGGATTTTGGAAAATGTGTTAAGATGTTATTGGGGAGTTGTTGGATGATTATATGTTGATATAATGGTGTTGTATGAGGTGTGGAATGATTAAAATTGAGTGGGAATTCTTTGGAAATTCCAAGTGTGCAATTCGGTCATATAGAGAACTTTAGGGAGTTGAGATTGTTTGTGTTGATTGGATGATATATCAAGTGTGGAAAGGTATTAAAATGGGTTGTGTGGTGGTTGGAAAGTGGTAGAATCAATGAAAAATAATAAATTGTATCTAGGGTCACAAAGGAACCTAAAGTGAAGTATTTAGCAAAACGATGCTTAAAAGACGTAAAATGGAAAAACGGCACTTGAATTAGCCTCTTGGCAACCTAAGGATGTGTAATAAAATGAGAAAAAAAATTTAGAAAAATAAATTTGAAAATTTGGCTTGTTTGGCCGAACCTTCCATGGGGAGGGAGGTGATTTTGACATTTTTCACGTTTTGATGGAATTGACGTATACTGATGGCTGTACATGGTTATGTAGGTTGTCGTACGTCGATTTGAATCCCGAACCGTGAATCGTTGGATTGCCCTTCGTCCTGGACAAGTGGATTGAGGTAAGTGATTGGATCAATGCATGAATAATTATGAATTAGCATGTGTTGTGTGAATTTTGAGTAATTGAGAATGTCCTCTGTGTAGGCATTCTGTTGAATAACAAGTTTGGGAAATAAACGGCTGTGGAGCTAAGTGGAGGAACAAATTAAGGTAACCTCTTGGTACTGGGGCTTGTTTCCGTTGTGTGTTCCACCATGCCAGTTGATGGTAGTGGTAGGAAATGTATATGAGTAGTGTAGAACAGCATGAGCATGCATGTAGTATTTATGAGGGTACTTATGTACCGAGTCTCTGGCCAGTAGACAGTGTAGCCTTCGAGCAGTGCGGACTTCCACTGGATAGGTCTCTGAGAGGGAGTTCCAGTTGACCTAGGGTCGTGGTGTGTCATCCGGGAAGGAGCACACTAGGAAGTCTCGGGTGTATATGGATGGAAGGGGTACCTTGGTTGTGGTTCTTGGAACACACCTTGGATGAGACCCGTAGGCTTATATGCCGAGGACGTTGCGTGGTATTGGTAGCTATCATTCCAGCTTCGTCGTATTTTATATCCCGATATTCCTCAGTTTCTCTAAATCCCTTGCTTTATCCCGTTTTGAAAGTGGTTGTTTTATATTGCTTATATGCATCGAAGTGAACCATTGGGCGGAGTTTTCTCCAGAACCTCTGGGTTACTGAGATATATCTGTATATCTCACCCCGTCTTGGGGCACTATTTCAGGAGGTAGCAGTGGCAGCGGAGCGGCGTGCAAGAAGCCCGTAGGATGACTAGTGGAAGCACCTTTACCATTTTGCATTTTGTTGGCCATGTGGCCTAGGCTAGACTTAGGGCATGAACATCTCATATGTATGTAGGATGAGTTCATTAGCATATTTGTTCATGTCGTTTTGCCTAAGTCTAGTAGTGTGTGTCATTTAAGCTTATGTTTCGATTTGTAATTAAAGTTGTAATATTTATAAGTTGTAATTTGAAGTTGAAATTGTAAGTTGTAATATGTAAGTTAAATGTTGTAAATGTACAAGAAATGCATGATATACTATGATGGAAGGGCTTTAGGCCTATTGTAGGTTTATGATTACTTGTATGTTGGAAATATGCATGAGAAGGGACCTTGTTGATTGAAACTGTTTAAGGATTTAAAGTGAGCTATATTGTATAATAAATATAAACTGAGTTGGGATGTAAGTGCCCCCAAGGCATTGTTGGTCCTTGTGTGTGCCATCCATTGGATTATTAGGTACATTTGAGGTACTAGTGAGCTTATGCAAATTTGGGGATTTTAGGAAAAACAAAGGAAACTCTGGCAAATTTTTTGTAGAATTGGAGAATTTTAGACGAACTTCGGGAGAGCATATCCCCCTCCAAAAAGGTCCGATAGGGACATGCCATACTCCATTTTAAAGCTTGAGATGTCCCCTACATGGTGCTAAAATATGAGCAAATACTGAGTTGCACGTAGCCCTGTAGGATGTATAGAACACGGACTGTCCAGAACCCCCTTATGCAGGGCCTGTTTCTGGTAGTTTTTGGGAAATTAATTCCCGCTTCGTTTCTTAGTCAAATTAAGTGTATGATATTCCAAATTGAAGTTTGCGGTGTCTAGTTTGTATTATAAAAATTTGAGAGTAATTGGATTAGTGGATTTTGTGCAGTAATTCGTGGAGTGTGAGTGGTTTTGAGCTGTTTTGGGGTTGGTTGGCAGTTTTGCTTTTCCAACTTCAAACGGCGATAACCAGAGCAAATGAGCTCGGAATTGAGTGTGTGATAGCTTCTTAGAAAGATAATTAAGTAAGAAAAAAATATAAATATAAAGGAAGGTCCGATTTTGTCAGTTGTGTACGCAGGAAAATAATTAGTGAACCATGTTCGGATAGGTAAAAACGTAAGATTGACAAATTGGCTAAGTGAGTTTATAGGAACCCCTTAGTGACTTATAATAAGTAAAGTAAGATGTAAAAAATAGTTTAATAAGTATTCCGCAAGAGTTTACAGTTATGGTCACAGCTTTTAATTATTACGCTTTTTATTGTTTTAAATGCTCGCGTAATAATCGGAAAAAGTTTATTCGCATTTTTATAAATGAATTGCTTTGATTGTAACTGCGCTTAATATCATAATTAATGTTAACAATACCGGTGTACAATAGGCTGTTACATTTTTATGGTATCAGAGCAGTTTTGTTAGGGAACTCTGATAATGCATAACTGTATTTTGTGTTGCATAGCTATCTGTGAACTATTTATGATTAATTTATATGTGATTCCTCAATGTGGGTCTGATCAGCTCATTCCTTTGTGTTACATGTACAGATATCATGAGTAGTGCACGGGGTCGTCGTGGAACTCGAGGTGCAGGGCGTCTAGCAGCACCAGATCCTATTACTGCAGTTCTGAATGCTCTGCAGGAAGAGACTGCTACAAATAGAAATATGACTGAGACCCTGATGAAAAATAATCAGGATATGATGCATGCCTTTATGAATGAGAAGAGGGCAGACAGGGCTCGGATGTAACATCCCAAGAGCTGGCAAGGGCAGGGAGTGATCGCCGGTGCGAAAGGGCACGGACAATGAACGGTTCATGCCAAATCTTGCAGCTTGGGGGTTCATGAATGAATCGAATCAACACCCGAAAGAGAGGATTCCAGATACTGTGCTGGTATGGGATGGTACAGTTAGGAATGACTTATAAGAATTAATTGGTACTACCTATACTAACAAGATGCATCTACTTTTCGGTAGCCCGGATCGGAAGAACTCCACAGTTAAGCGTGCTTGACTTGGGGCAATTCTGGGATGGGTGACCTCCTGGGAAGTTTTCCCGGGAAGTCTGCAAGTGAGGAAAAAGCACACTGAAAAGTCTCGTGTTAGTATGTGGGGAAAGTCATTGATTCTTGAAGCGGTCAGGCGTTACAAGTGGTATCAGAGCAGGGCCTCTCTTCCAGTACGGTGTGGTTCAAGGACGAACCAGGCGGAAGCTGGTGGGCATGTAACATCCCAAGAGCTGGCAAAGGCAGGGAGTGATCGCCGGTGCGAAAAGGCACGGACAATGAGCGGCTCATGCCAAATCTTGCAGCTTGGGGGTTCATGAATGAATCGAATCAACACCCGAAAGAGAGGGATTCCAAAGACTGTGCTGGTATGGGACGGTACAGTTAGGAATGACTTATAAGAATTAATTGGTACTACCTATACTAATAAGATGCATCTACTTTTCGGTAGCCTGGAACGGAAGAACT